GTAGCCCCGCGCGGTGCTCGGCCCGAGCGGCCACGTCCGACCCTTCGGCCCGCAGCGAGGGGGCACGAAGGTCGGCTCGCGTTCTGCAGTGGGCGGTGGGGACCAAACGCTCGGACAGTCAGGCTAGTGCCAGGCGGCTGGAGAGGGGGGGGAGGGGTAGAACAGAAAACGCCGGGTTTGAATCGTGGAATTAAAAAAAAAAGGAGGGGGGTTGGGGGGCGGTAAGGGGAAGCCGGGGACGCGGACCGAGGCTTGCTGGAGCGGAGCATTTGCATGCTGCGCGCAGGGCACTGAGTCACCGCCGCGGCCGCGTCCTCGCGCTCTCCCGGAGATTTCTCCCGAGAAAGCAGAGCAAGGTCAGCCCGGCAGCGCTTCAAGGACGGCGCGCTCGGCTCCTGCATGCTGATGGCCTGCGGGGCTACCCGCCCGCGCCCTGGGTGCCCAGCTCCTGCGGGGAGGAATTCAGGGTCTTCCTGCCCTGGCCACAGGTCTTCCCCTCCCCAACTGCAGCGCGCCGCAGCTTATCAAAGCCCTTGTTGTCACCAAGACACTGGAACCTTGTCCCATGGTTGGAACCCCTCATAAATCAGGTCAGGCAGCCAGCCACCTTCGGATACGACGGTCCTCAAAAGCTTTACTAAGGCACTATGTCTAGAAATGTTTGCTTCAAGAGTGCTCGCCAGGGAAAATAAACATAAATAATGCCAAAGTCGTGCCTTTTCAGAAATCCTCACCCCTAAATGCGCTTTCCCCTTTTTTCTCCCATCACCCTCCTTCCCATGTGCCAAGAGACAGCCCTGTCACCTACACACCTCAGTCTCCCCTTCTCTCCACCCCCCACGGGGCTCACCAGGGAGCCCCCCGTGAAGCCTAGGAAGCCCTTTCTCATGGCCCTCTAGCCACTGGGGAGGTTCTAGAGCCAGGTCAGTTCAACTCGACAGAAACTCAGATGGCAGCAAGAAAAAGACTTTGATGGGGAAGTGCCCGGACTTCAATACTCTGACCTTAATCTTTGGTAGTCTCCTTTGTGAGCTTGAAAAGACCACAGATCCCAAGATTAAATCTCATGCTTGGGTCGCACCAATAACTTGGAATTCATGTTACTCTTATGGTGGAAGGGGCCCTTCTTACATAAGTATATGCAAGGCATAAGTATATGCAAAAGCTTATGTTTCAAAAAAATAGTATCCAGAAGGTTGCAAATCGTTTTGTTTTTTTTTTTAACCAATTAAAGAAATGACACCTTAGGGTGGCCAGTTATTATAATAGTCCCTATATTTGTTTCACATCTTACGAATCAAAAAGTACTTGCTCTTACATCTAGTATTACTCACTCAGAGTCTTCTAGCCTCTAGCTAACCCATTTTACAGTGGAAAACACCAAAGCTCTAGTTGCTGGTAAGAAGTCTTTGCAGTCAGAGCCTGGCTCTCTCCCCCACACATCTGAAGGGCTGGCTTCTTGGGAGTGGGACCAGAGCCACTGTCTCTCACCCCCACCTGTCTCTGCAGTCTTCCCATTCTTAACGGTCGAACAAGGAAGCCCCACACTCCCCTTTGAACTGGGCACACAGATTAGGAAGTGTGTCCTGCCCACAGATCACGTCGACCAGCTCTAACTTCACATACGTGGCCCTCGCAGAGTTCCCGAATGGTGATCCCATTTCCTCTTTCCTGTTTATTCTCCACCCCCATTGGAAACCCACTCTGACAGTGAGGTGTCTTTGAATATATATTTCTTTGGAAAAATAAAAACAATCTCTTTTTAAGTAAGGAACTGAAATTATTCTAAACACGTGCATGCAGCTTTGCTGAATTTTCCCAAGTTGGACACACACACACGTTATCAGCCCCAGCACGCCATTCCTCCCTATTCTCGGCTATTGTGGACTCCAGCATAGCCACTGTGGACTTCTAATACCAAAGATCCGTGCTTCCTGTTCTCACATTTTATACTAACGACACCATACCTGTATATTCTTTTGGTCTGCCTTCCTTCACTAACCATTAATCGTGAGGTCCATCCAACCGGCAGACAGAATTCTAAGGTGCCCTCAAGACTCTGTATCCTCTCCTGGGTACACACCTTCTGTCAATTACTTAACTGAGGTTTAATCTAGGTGCTGCTGTTCAGGGATTTTGCAGACCCAAGCCCCCAAACCAGCTGCAATAAGATAGGGAGCTTATCCTCAGTGGGTCTGATCACCTGAGCCTTGAAAAGGGACCAGGCTTTCCTTGGTGAGAGAGGGCTGAAGTCTGAGAAGGACTGGAACCAGGGAATTCCACATCGCTGGCTTTGAAGATCAAAGGGGCCATGGCCTCCAAAGGCTGAGACTGGCTTCTGGCTGACAGGCAGGAAGGAAACAGGAGACCTCAGTCCTCCAACCCCCAAAAAGACCTTGAATTCTGTCCATACCCTGGAAGAACTTGGAAGAGGACCCAGCGCTCCGGCTGCTGACACGTTCAAGTGGGCCTTTAGCAGAGCACACAACACTGGGTCCAGATGGAAGACTAGCAACTGCGAGTTTGTGCGTGTGAGTAGTTCTCAGCAGCTGAGTATGCGTTAACTTGTCTCACAGAGATGCAAAACTAACACCTAGCAAGTGTTAGAGTTTAGACAGTTGATCATTTATAGGTACAGTTGTAGTTTACTCCATCTGTATATCTTGTTAGACTGTAACATAACTTACTGGTTGGTCCATTCTACCGCTGGTGGACATCTGGGGTTGGGGTGTTGCCACGAGCCTCCAGGCCGTATATATTTTTTTATGATTTATTTTATTTATGCATCTAAGAACTGCGGTGTAGGTCAGAGGTGTGAAAGGAGGAGGTGACAGGATCCACCAGAGACAGTGGGGGAGCAGAAGAGGTAGTTCTCCTGAAATACACTGCTGAGGGGAGCAGCAGGCCAGACAGGAGAGGTCTGCTGCGCCATGTGGGTCAACCCCTGGCCGGGGATGGAATTCGTGCTGCAATGGCTGCCGACAGCTTGACAGTGCTGAAACTTTTAGTCCTGCACCACCATGGAGGCCCCAAACTGTATGTTTTATTGAACATGCATGGCTGCTGGGTGTTGGCATTTCGAGTGAAATTGCTGGGTCAGAGAAAATGTACGCATGCTCAGCTTTAGCGACTACTGCCAATAGGTTTTCCAGAGGGGTAAGTTATTTTTTCGTATTTTATTCACATTTGCTTACACCTCATAAGAAAAGAGTCCCCATTGGAGCTGACCTGAAGATAAACTGACTCAGAGCAAGAAACTCACCAGGTCAAGAGCCAACTAGGCTAGCGAAAGCCACACCTATGGCCAGTTCACCTGCGTGCAGTAGCAGGGACCCGGACTGGGGCTGACCTATACCCTGTTGGAACTCCATGGCCAGACTGCGTGGGGTGTGTTTGGATCACTGGACACTGCCAGTGACCAGCAGCCATCGCCGGTTATCTGCTGACACTGCTCTTGAAATCCTAGTGCCTTTTCAACCTGACTGTCTTCACAGCAAGTCTAACACGCACACAGACACAGCGTCGGGTGGACTCAGGCCGGGGGCCCAGCAGTTTGAGTCCGAAGGCCCTGCTGGCACTCCCCTCATGGAGCGTGTTCCATTTTAAGCTGCATTGATATTCTGATTGTAGAATTGCAGCAAACACTCAGAAGGCCTCGCAAACAAAAGAGTAAACACATGGGTAACTGATCACTCTGCCAGATTCAGTGAGCACCATTTTTATATCCTAATTGCCAGGAATGGGGACAGCTGCATCATTGTTTAAAACACACACTCACGCACAATTAAGCCAGGAACGAATGTCAACACTGGCACAATCTGCTAAATTACTGATAACTGATGGGCATTACTCATGCTGTGAGCATTGTCTCCAGTACAAAATGGAAAGATTCTTTTTAAAAAAGACTTCAGAGGTTTCTACTGGCTTAAGAAAGCCGGGGTTTGTATCATACGGCACAAGTGCAACCTGCCAGATTATGTAAGTGACATTCCTCCAATGTGTTGAAGGAGTTTGTGATAAGTACATGCTGTTCTTGTGCCTCTTTAGATCTGTGTTAACAAGACAGGCTTCCAGAGGCTGATTCCTGGATTGGGGACACAGTGATCAGGGTATCTTGCGGCCAAGTGAGCAGAAATGCTCAGTGATAACGTTGGCATCTGAAGAGCCAAGGTTTAAATGGTCAGCTGTAGACACTGGACATTGCCAGCCTTGTTTTCGATAAGTTACTACTATAGACTAGAGCTATGATTTAAACACCTCGTTCAGTTCCCTTATGAAGGATGACTTGTATTCTAAGTAACTAAGCGAATAATCTTGAGCCTGGGTGTGATGGCCCCCACGTGTGCAACCTGAGAAACATCTTCCTTCTGTCTTAGCACCACCTCCCAGGTAATCTCCTGCACTGGCCTCAAGTTATCCAGTTTTTACCAAAGGGTAGAGGCATCATCAGCAGCACCAGCAGCATCATCACCGGCATCACCATCACCATCATCATCATCTTGCCACAATTATACTGTGCAAAAGATGCAGTTCTGCCTCCAACA